GTGGTACTGGCGTCCACTTGCAGCCACATGTGTCAGTGCCGGGGTGTGTTGTGGTACTGGCGACCACTTGTAGCCACATGTGTCAGTGCCGGGGGGTGTTGTGGTACTGCCGACCACTTGTAGCCACATGTGTCAGTGCCGGGGTGTGTTGTGGTACTGGCGACCACTTGCAGCCACATGTGTCAGTGCCGGGAAGGTGGTTTGGCACTGCCGACCACTTCCGGCCGCAAGTGTCAGTGCCGGGGTGTGTTGTGGTACTGGCGACCACTTGTAGCCACATGTGTCAGTGCCGGGGGGTGTTGTGGTACTGCCGACCACTTGTAGCCACATGTGTCAGTGCCGGGGTGTGTTGTGGTACTGGCGACCACTTGTAGCCACATGTGTCAGTGCCGGGGGGTGTTGTGGTACTGGCGTCCACTTGCAGCCACATGTGTCAGTGCCGGGGAGGTGGTTTGGCACTGCCGACCACTTCCGGCCGCAAGTGTCAGTGCCGGGGTGTGTTGTGGTACTGGCGTCCACTTGCAGCCACATGTGTCAGTGCCGGGGAGGTGGTTTGGCACTGCCGACCACTTCCGGCCGCAAGCGTCAGTGCCGGGGTGTGTTGTGGTACTGGCGACCACTTGCAGCCACATGTGTCAGTGCCGGGAAGGTGGTTTGGCACTGCCGACCACTTCCGGCCGCAAGTGTCAGTGCCGGGGTGTGTTGTGGTACTGGCGACCACTTGTAGCCACATGTGTCAGTGCCGGGGGGTGTTGTGGTACTGCCGACCACTTGTAGCCACATGTGTCAGTGCCGGGGTGTGTTGTGGTACTGGCGACCATTTGCAGCCACATGTGTCAGTGCCGGGGTGTGTTGTGGTACTGGCGACCACTTGTAGCCACATGTGTCAGTGCCGGGGGGTGTTGTGGTACTGCCGACCACTTGCAGCCACATGTGTCAGTGCCTGGGAGGTGGTTTGGCACTGCCGACCACTTCCGGCCGCAAGTGTCAGTGCCGGGGTGTGTTGTGGTACTGGCGACCACTTGTAGCCACATGTGTCAGTGCCGGGGGGTGTTGTGGTACTGGCGTCCACTTGCAGCCACATGTGTCAGTGCCGGGGAGGTGGTTTGGCACTGCCGACCACTTCCGGCCGCAAGTGTCAGTGCCGGGGTGTGTTGTGGTACTGGCGTCCACTTGCAGCCACATGTGTCAGTGCCGGGAAGGTGGTTTGGCACTGCCGACCACTTCCGGCCGCAAGTGTCAGTGCCGGGGTGTGTTGTGGTACTGGCGACCACTTGTAGCCACATGTGTCAGTGCCGGGGGGTGTTGTGGTACTGGCGTCCACTTGCAGCCACATGTGTCAGTGCCGGGGTGTGTTGTGGTACTGGCGACCACTTGTAGCCACATGTGTCAGTGCCGGGGGGTGTTGTGGTACTGCCGACCACTTGTAGCCACATGTGTCAGTGCCGGGGTGTGTTGTGGTACTGGCGACCACTTGCAGCCACATGTGTCAGTGCCGGGAAGGTGGTTTGGCACTGCTGACCACTTCCGGCCGCAAGTGTCAGTGCCGGGGTGTGTTGTGGTACTGGCGACCACTTGCAGCCACATGTGTCAGTGCCGGGGAGGTGGTTTGGCACTGCCGACCACTTCCGGCCGCAAGTGTCAGTGCCGGGGTGTGTTGTGGTACTGGCGACCACTTGCAGCCACATGTGTCAGTGCCGGGAAGGTGGTTTGGCACTGCCGACCACTTCCGGCCGCAAGTGTCAGTGCCGGGGTGTGTTGTGGTACTGGCGACCACTTGTAGCCACATGTGTCAGTGCCGGGGGGTGTTGTGGTACTGCCGACCACTTGTAGCCACATGTGTCAGTGCCGGGGTGTGTTGTGGTACTGGCGACCACTTGCAGCCAAATGTGTCAGTGCCGGGAAGGTGGTTTGGCACTGCTGACCACTTCCGGCCGCAAGTGTCAGTGCCGGGGTGTGTTGTGGTACTGGCGACCACTTGTAGCCACATGTGTCAGTGCCGGGGGGTGTTGTGGTACTGGCGTCCACTTGCAGCCACATGTGTCAGTGCCGGGGAGGTGGTTTGGCACTGCCGACCACTTCCGGCCGCAAGTGTCAGTGCCGGGGTGTGTTGTGGTACTGGCGTCCACTTGCAGCCACATGTGTCAGTGCCGGGGTGGTGGTTTGGCACTGCCGACCACTTCCGGCCGCGAGTGTCAGTGCCGGGGTGTGTTGTGGTACTGGCGACCACTTGCAGCCACATGTGTCAGTGCCGGGAAGGTGGTTTGGCACTGCCGACCACTTGCAGCCACATGTGTCAGTGCCTGGGAGGTGGTTTGGCACTGCCGACCACTTCCGGCCGCAAGTGTCAGTGCCGGGGTGTGTTGTGGTACTGGCGCACTTACAGCCACATGTGTCAGTGCCGGGGAGGTGGTTTGGCACTGCCGACCACTTCCGGCCGCAAGTGTCAGTGCCGGGGTGTGTTGTGGTACTGGCGACCACTTGCAGCCACATGTGTCAGTGCCGGGAAGGTGGTTTGGCACTGCCGACCACTTCCGGCCGCAAGTGTCAGTGCCGGGGTGTGTTGTGGTACTGGCGACCACTTGTAGCCACATGTGTCAGTGCCGGGGGGGTGTTGTGGTACTGCCGACCACTTGTAGCCACATGTGTCAGTGCCGGGGTGTGTTGTGGTACTGGCGACCACTTGCAGCCACATGTGTCAGTGCCGGGAAGGTGGTTTGGCACTGCCGACCACTTCCGGCCGCAAGTGTCAGTGCCGGGGTGTGTTGTGGTACTGGCGACCACTTGTAGCCACATGTGTCAGTGCCGGGGTGTGTTGTGGTACTGGCGTCCACTTGCAGCCACATGTGTCAGTGCCGGGGAGGTGGTTTGGCACTGCCGACCACTTCCGGCCGCAAGTGTCAGTGCCGGGGTGTGTTGTGGTACTGGCGACCACTTGCAGCCACATGCGTCAGTGCCGGGGAGGTTGTTTGGCACTGCCGACCACTTCCGGCCGCAAGTGTCAGTGCCGGGGTGTGTTGTGGTACTGGCGACCACTTGTAGCCACATGTGTCAGTGCCGAGGGGTGTTGTGGTACTGCCGACCACTTGCAGCCACATGTGTCAGTGCCTGGGAGGTGGTTTGGCACTGCCGACCACTTCCGGCCGCAAGTGTCAGTGCCGGGGTGTGTTGTGGTACTGGCGACCACTTGTAGCCACATGTGTCAGTGCCGAGGGGTGTTGTGGTACTGCCGACCACTTGCAGCCACATGTGTCAGTGCCTGGGAGGTGGTTTGGCACTGCCGACCACTTCCGGCCGCAAGTGTCAGTGCCGGGGTGTGTTGTGGTACTGGCGACCACTTGTAGCCACATGTGTCAGTGCCGGGGTGTGTTGTGGTACTGGCGACCACTTGTAGCCACATGTGTCAGTGCCGAGGGGTGTTGTGGTACTGCCGACCACTTGCAGCCACATGTGTCAGTGCCTGGGAGGTGGTTTGGCACTGCCGACCACTTCCGGCCGCAAGTGTCAGTGCCGGGGTGTGTTGTGGTACTGGCGACCACTTGTAGCCACATGTGTCAGTGGCGGGGGGGTGTTGTGGTACTGCCGACCACTTGCAGCCGCAAGTGTCAGTGTCGGGGAGGTGGTGTGGTACTGGCGACCACTTCCGGGTACCGGGTACTGCCGAATCGTACCAAAGCTAATATAAACGGTAGCTCTTTGCACTTGCTCGAAGCAATCCTCACAACGGTATAGACCCACTTTCTGACAGCAATTTTATTGACGATGCACGGCGATGATCAAGTGTATGCCGCCGTTCATGACAAAAACAGTAAACAGTGATCCGTGCTAAGTTCAGTCACTAGCTCCAAGAACAAGAATGTTCTATTCTTATACGAAAAACCAGAAAAATTAAATGCATGACAAGATAAAGACATCAAAATATGAGTCCGCAAAAGCAGGAAAATAAAAACAGAAAATAAGAAGCTTCAAAAGCAGTACAAGATAAAACAGGCGCCTAAAGTTTAGAAAAGACAGCCACGCCACAAACCTCCCTCTAGGCCAGCCAGACGACAATCACAGTGCAAAAAAGGCAAGATAAAAAGAGAATAGGCTAAGATCCACCCCCTCAGCTAATACTAAACATGTACGGCGATTAAGGAAAGCGATTGGTCAGCTCCAACCAGAGACGCAGCAACAAACGATTGAACATATGCAGTGTCGGTGGGAAATCGTTCATGCCGTCCATGCACCACTTCTTCCCGCGGTAATGCGACACAAGACGCGGATCTGCTGTCTGCACAGCGCACAGCAACTGCAAAAGAATGCGCATTCACACTTCATGGAATCGAGTAGCATAAACCATGGCAAGCAAAATATGTACTTGGTGTACTAAGCGTCATTACTTGCGTAAGCACTGTACACATCAAGAAAAGCTATAACATGTAGTAAAAATGCATATAAAAATATGTAACTGACCTTCAGTAACCGCCGGCCTTCATTCGTTCCGTTTTTGTCCGCTCGCCAGGTCAGAAGATGGCCGATTTCGGCAGCACTGAGCTCAGGCAGGGACGCTCCCAGAGCATTCCACAATGCACACTCAAAATCGGATCCTACTTGCAACGCCACCGTCAAGCGCGCTGAAACAGGTGGCGGGCGGTGGAATCCGTCGTTAACATGCAGATATATGCACTCGACTTTGAAATCGCAACGAATAAAATGGATGGACTGACAGGATAATGTGCGGCACGAACCAATAAAGCCGTGCAGCGTACGCCCAAACAGTTCAGCGTAATGGTCAAAAACATGGACTGCGCAGATTCCGGGCCGGGACGCCCCCACTCGGACGTGAATTTCAAATCCGACCAAGCGCAGATTATAATGTCGAATAGGTGTATTCCAACCGGCCAGGAACGCCAGGAAGTCCAAGAGGGCAGGCACGGCATCCGCATCACTCGCTTCCGGGTCATCATTTGTTACGGTAATAGTTCGTGTAGTAGTGCGCACAGTATGAAATAACACTGTTAGCAGTCCATGATCCTTGTAACGCTGTCTGCCCTGCACAAGCACGTGTGGAGTGAGTAGAGGCGACGCCATGATCGAATTCCACGTCGCGCACGTTCTTCGCAGTAGATGCTGACGGGCAGAATCCAAATGGGAAAACACTCCCATCCAAAGATCCAGAATAAGCTCATCCCAGTCCGTAATGCTGCTGACAACATCCGGCAGTAAAAGCCACGGAATGATCCCGCTAAGGCGATTCGAGAGTCTGCTCAGCGCGCCCATCTTCAAAATTCAGCAATTACACTACGTAGTATAATTATATATAGCCACCGTATTTTCAATAATTTAATTTACCACGCCTAGTGACGCCCGGTCAATATTCCGCACAATATACCACAACCGTCCATCCGCGACGTCCACGCTCACAAACACCAGATTCCGATGGTACCCACACAGACGTTCGAGTAAAGCGGCGGGTTGATCGCACGCATGCGGCAACGGTACACTGCGCTTGACAAAATCGCCCGGCTGGATGCGGGTCGGGAAGTGCGCCATGTAGTCGCTTGCATTGGTCCAGTCCTCGGGACGCGAACGCACGGGCACCCAGCGGACTGCACCGTGCTCCGCCCACCACTTCTCCGAGACTCTCCAGCGGATCCGCGAGGCGTGGACGACATCGGTTTGCTGTTGCCCCTCCCCCCAATGTACAACAAAAGCCTCGTAAGCGTTCCGACGCATCCGGCTGACGAGGCTAATCACCGTTGCCGCTTTCCAAATCCATGGCTGATTGGGTGAGTCTCGCCGCAGTACCGCCACGGGGATCGGTGCCCATGTTTCAGGGATCGCGCTGATTAACTCCGAACACATAAGCAATTGCTGTGAGTTAACCAGGAAGACCTGATCATAAGGAATACGCACACGTCGTCGTTTGGGACAGAGGAAGTCAATGAAGAGCCCGTTATCAGCCACATCCACCACACGCGCATGCCGGAAGAAACCGTCTTCACCCAGGATATCAACACTGTTTGTCCGTAGACTGGCAAAATCCATGGCCGCAGATTACTGACTGGCCGGCGTAGATAAATGTGATGCTTGTACAATAGAATTAACTGAGACTATCTCGTTAATGCACTTGAGAATTCACATAGGAGAATTTCGTGATCTTTTGGCCAGGTATGGCAGAGTGGTGCGGATCACTTTGTAATGACTGTATGGCAGTTCTCCAACGGATGCAAATCGTGCAATTTGCCATTCCAGCGCAGCCGTGCTGTGACCAGATAGCGATCGGGATCGGAAGATACGATCCGTGTTTACGCCGTGTTGGCAGCAACAAGTGCCGCATCGTCGGTTATTGTTCTCATCTCCACATTTACCGGCGCTGTTCTTATCTGATACATATCAGTACACTAAGTGGTGCTAGTAGTTTTTAAGTGCACTATCAGCGACTGTCTGTTGAAAATCAGTCCTGGTGAGAGCTGCTACCTTAGCAAATTATTTCTCTTTTTTTTAGTATTTTGTCAACAAAAACGACGGTGTAATAATATTAATTTCTAATTTTCCTGCATTTTATTCTTACATACGCTTTCCTTACCGGTATTTAAAGTACACTACTCACTCTTTACACTACATCTGCACGTATTACGCATACTCTACAACGGTGGCCATTTATTGCTGCAAATGATTAATTTTTATTTCAGCAGAACGAGTGCGCGAATACGCGATTTAATACCAGCAGTAATGCAAGTAACGGATGCAGTTGTCCCATTCCCGCGCATCGCGGAGATCGGGATCTGATGATACGATCGGCGTGACATTGATGCAGTGTTGGCAGCAACAAGTGCAGGCATCGGGCGTTGTTTTCACTCTCCAGACAACTTACCACTGATCACAGCCGCACCTGTCTGCGTTGTTTACATCGGATGCCGGTGCATGTTGTGTTCTTATTAACGATACATGCCCTGTTAGCGACGGTCTGTCTGAACAACCGAATCCTGCTGCCGCTGTTTCATTAGAAAATAATTTAAACGATTTTAAAAATTTTTAAATTAAAATAATTAGTTTTCAAATAAAAATACCGAGAAATAACCACTATGTACACAAAACTCCTGCCTCACCATTTTTATATGTTGTTACTTTATCATTTCACAGTATACACGATCGACGCGCAATATGTATTTGTAAATGGTTTTATTTCATTCAGACTATTTTCGCGAAAAATAAATTACACGCTTTACACCCAACGATGAAATGACGCCCAAAACGTCGTTGACGTACGTACGTACACACGTGAATTTTTGTGTTTTTATACACGAAACGCATATAGCGATTGCTGGTTAATACTGCAAAAAATGCTCGTGAGAACTATGTTACTTCTTGGTTTATTCGCTTATTTTTTTCAATAAAAATCGCGGCAATGATTCGGCAACAGTACTGTTATAATTTATGACAAAATGGCCGCGTCTCCGCTAGCTTTGCTGCATGTTACGACTGCATTAACGCGCTCATATAAAAAAAACCGCATATCTTTACAAGGCTTCATGTGTACTTTACGTAGGTACACGTATAAACGGCTTAATTAACGCGCTCGATTTAAGCCAGTTAAAAACCGGTTTTTCTTTACATGGAGCTAGGCTTCACGTGTACTTTACACGGGTACATATATGAACGGCTTAATTAACGCGCTCGATTAAGGCAGTTACAAAACCGGTTTTATTTAACGTACTCTGCCTAGTATACGGATACATGCATGTATACTGTACAATTGTACATGCACCTGCAATTAACGCGTCTAACGGATGCCATCTTTCCATTCACGGCCTGCCGGGCAGCGCGGAGATAAGGATCAGGAGCGGAAGATACCATCCGCGTGAAGTTGAATGCCGTGTTGGCAGCAACAAGTGCCGCGGCATCGGTCACTGTTCCCACTTTCCAGACAACTTACCACTGATCACAGGCGCACCTGTCTGCGTTGCATCGGATGCCGGTGCACAGTGTGTTGTTTATTAACGATGAATACATGTTCAGTAACTGTCTGTCGAAAAAAACCGAATCCTGTTGCCGTTGCTTCGTTTCGTAAATAATTTACGGATTTTTTAAAATTATTTTTCCACCCAAAATACTGGGAAATAACCACCCGTACAATATTGCGGTTTTATAATTTTAATTTTCTTTCATAATTATTTGTTTCAGTTTATTTTCAACAAAAATACCGGGAAATAACTGCCCGTCCTCATTTTTTTTATTTTGTTACCTATTTTATTTAAATTATTACAACACGATCACGATCGCGACCTCCAATATCAATCCTGTAAATGATCTTGTTTCAGTACGACGATTCTGGCGCGAAGATAAATTATACGTCTAACACCATCAACGATGAAAAATGACACCCAAACATGCACACTACCGGCACCGCGAATCAATCGCCCCGGCAGCGCATACACGCAACGCAAAAACAAATGACAAGTTAAAAAAAACAACAGCCAACAAACACCTTTAAATGAATCCCCGAATCAATGACACGACGCGCAAAGAAATTATCCCCACAAAATAAATGAACCAAATTTATGATGATTTTACCAACCGGCGAGACGCGGGTATAACGAAACACGGAAACGCGCCGCGCGCGCGTCTATTCCAACAACACACGAGACGAGAATAAATCCCCGGATAAATCCGCAATAAATCGCCGACAAATTATCCAAAAAATTATAAATGTCCATCCGGAAGCGCAAGCACCACCACGAATTATTTTCCCGCCGAACAATCCAAACAAATGTACAAAGAACACAAAATGCCGGAAACTGATTCACTCCGAAATTCGCAAAAAAATCCCGGAAATTAATTCACTCCGAAATTATCCAAAAAATCCCGGAAATCAATTCACTCCGAAATTAGCAAAAAAATCCGAAAATTAACTCTCCGAAATTAGCCGCAAAATTCCCGGAAATTAATTCTTTCGAAATTAGCCAAAAAATCCGCAACGCAAAGAAACATGGGTTAAATTTTCTCCGGAAAAAAATAAAAACAGGCATATCAACCAGGCAACAACGGTACGCGGGCGGACGCCACAATCCCAAATCCACAATCGATCAAAAAACTATAAATCTAAAATCCTCCCGACATTTCCATTCCCGCCGACACGCCCACACTGTATCACGTGCAAAGGAAAGCGCTGCAAACCGGTCCCACGCTAACGGCTGCATATGTTCACATTGAATTAATCCGATTTCTTCACCCCGGTGGACAGTTCCGACAGCTCGGAGCCGTCCAGGGAGAGCGCCTCTTCATCCTCCGCCTCCCCATCGTAATCCTCCTCGCAGTGACCCGACTCCTTGTCGTCGCGCTCACTGGGACTCTCGCCGCCCACGGGCAGCACGTCGTCGTCGGTATAATACGTCCACTGGCCGCCTTCTTCGGAGGAGGGCGGGGCCTCGCCGTCCATGTAGTAGTAGCTCCCGGTCTCATCGTCCTCCTTGATGGGCCAGGCTTCCGGCGCGTCACGGGAGCGCACCATGAACCCGTCCATCAGCTCCAGCAGGGTGCTACTGCGCACCGCCTACGAGAGAGAATATTTCCCATTCATGTCGGTTTCTGCTATTTCGAATTTTAATAATCGGATTACCTATGTATGTATTTATTTGTAATAATAATTTATTTCTATTTATTTGGAATTTTTTCATCCAGTTTTCCAATTTAAATTCAATTTTCATTTTTATTTCAATTTCGACTACGTACTGCTGCGCACTACCTGCACAATTAAAAATTAACTATGATTAATCTGCCATGTTTCATAAATTATTACATTATTTTTACGTTGATTATTCACATTTCAGTTACTCATTTATTTCCCACTCTCCCATTATCAGCTTCATTTAATTATTCTTTACTCTTCGAATTCCCTGTCCGGGAAACATATATTTACAACGCTGTTGTGGCTGGATTTTCAATTTTTGCAAGAATAATTTCATCCAGTTTTCCCACTGACAACATTTACGGAAATTTAATGAATGAATTTATTTCCAGAAATTAATAAGAATTCCACTTTATTTTATTTTTTAAAATTTCAAAGGGAAAAGCTATCCGTAACTCGCAAGTGCGTATTATTCACGACACAACACAGTCGTCCGCCACGCGTAACTTCCTCATCAGCCTCTTACATGCAAGCACGCCAAGGTCGACAGCACTTGACACACAAGCCTTATCAAAATCCAGTTAATTACGCATTCAAGAAGCCCACGCATAATTGATTATCCAATCATCTGCGTGTACGAGTACACGCGATAACTCTCTACAAAAGCTACCAGTATCACACCGCAGAAATTACAAAATCGAAAAATTATTCTACACTGTGAGCGGAAAAAAAAGATTCTAAACCCAGAACGAATTAATTCAACATAAAAAATTATGAAAGGAAAATTTGCGACACAATAAACTGAAAAAAAGCGCCACGGATGATGCAAAATGTCAACGCACCTCGAGAATCATGTAGAAGTCCTGCGAGAGCGAGCGGACCCGCTGGAAACTGGCCACCAGACTCAGCAGCACCGAGCCGTCCTCGGCCATGTTGCGGCGCAGAAAAAAGTCCTTCTGCAGATTATCCGCACTGAAGTAGTACTCACTGCAAAGCAGAAAAAAATACCACTGTCAAACTGAATAAATCACGAATGATATCCCCACCGACAAATGGTAACTGAATATTTTTTAATCAAATAACATGAAAATATACTCAATACAGTTTCAAACTATAATACGTACAAATTTATTACGAATATTTTTCCTGTTGCATCTTGTTGCAAAAACTGTATGATTGCAAAACAAAATAACGACACAAAATAACCGCATACAAACCACTTAAAAAACGTGAAACATGGCCAATAAATTAATAAAAAAAATAAATCGATGATAAGAAAATACCGTTAAAAAACAAACGCCAATAAACTAATCTGAACGCATTCTAGCACTCCATCCCATAAATCACTGCTGCAGAATATTCATAAATTTCGCGAAAAATAAATTCGAAAAAAACCGAATAATAAAATCACTCCCAAATTATCCCGAATATTTAAACAAGCAGTAAACGTACATTTGCGTGCGGATCATCTCCTTGAGCTCGGCCTCGGACTGCGGCACGTAGGCCGGCGCAAAGAGCTCCTCCTCCTCGGTGAGATAGTACCCGGAGGACTCCATCCCCGAATCGCCGTAATAATCGTACGCGCCGCCGTACTCATCCCCGGACGTGGAGAATCCGTCCACCGCCGACAGATAGGCGGCATCGTGCCCCGGGGTCGGCGGCGGGTAGTAGCCCCAGTCGCTGCCGGGCGTCCGGCTGCCGTCCGTGTAGTAGTGGTAGTCATAGCCTTCCGTCAGCGAAATATCATCCGCCCCGTCCGAGAACTGATCCCCATCGCGCCCGGCAAATTCTGCAGACAGTTAACCGTTATTCCCAAAATCCCCGTATTTAATCACTTGATACATTTAATATACACGTCATTAAAGTGATTCCATAACACACATGCAAAAGTTTCGTTATTTTGCACGAAAGTTTCGTTATTTCACAACCGGCAATTAATTCACTAGATCTATTTTCTTTTCATTTTCATTTTCCAGAACAAATGTAATGACTACTGGTCTTTTGATTTTTTTAAGATTTCATAGTTTGAAAATAATTTTAATTTCCGTTTACTCATTTCAGGAACAGAATAAAAAGAAATCATATTTCATTACGCTACTGCACTGTTTTATTTGGCGCCAGCCAGCCTGTACATATCTCATTCACACTGAAACCATAATGACGGTCAAATGTGATAAGAATTTACGACCACTTTGAAATCTAACGATCACTCAATGCCAGATTTATTCCAATTTATTTCTTATTTATTCCAGATTAATTTCAATTTGTTTTTTTTTTATTCCAGACTTATTCCTGTAGTCCTCATAGACTAATTTCCTTTTTATTGCGGACGATGCGAATTAATTTTCGGATTACTAACGATCGGATAAGACATGACCAAAACCTGGACAATCAATAAAAATATTTTTTCCAATTATTTCTTATAAAGCAAAATTTAAAAAATTGAAGAACGAAATTTTTTTGAAAAACACTCGAAAAAAAAAACGCTGCGCACGACAGTTTCGATTGTTCCCTGACGCGCGCCCAACAGTACAAGCACCTTCTCCTGACGAAACCTGACCGGATGCACTTGAACTCTTACGTAACAGTGTAACATACAACTTGAAGCAACACCGGTGTCTCCGCCGACACAGCACCACAGCCCACTCGAGCCACGTTACATCAGATGATCAGACGCACGGAAAAAAGCGTCAAAAATTATCACACGACGGCAGACATACACACAAGTACATTTTCCACTTGAAAATGTATCGTTTTTCCCCGCCGTCAACGTTGGCGATCGCCATCGCAGCCACTTTCCAAAGTCTGCATATTTTTTTCTCAAAAACACCGACCTGGCACCAACCACCAAATTGTATCCATTTTCGCCGATTTTCTTATCAGTGTGAACGCGCGCGCGCGCGGCGCACTCATCAGGTGACCCGGCAACACATAACCGGTAAACTGATCGCCCGGCTTACATAACCTAATCGCCTACAAACTGGAAAGACCGTTTATCATTCGTGTAAATATCGCTACTATCTCCTAAAATCCCTCGCAGACGTCTTTGCCACACTTTTCGCGTGCCGGCATTTTTCGCTACATTTTGAAACGTCGGCGCTAGCTGCCAAAAAGGAAAACCCCGGCAAATACGTTGCCACACCGACAGCCATGGCTGCTCTCATTAATTTATCACCCAATTAATTATCATCATCAGCATTTTCCACCAATAGAAAAACAAAATGCTCGCATGTATGCCAAAATCAACCGGCAACCACTCACACTAAAAAGGTAGCCAATATACACGGAATTTTAATGATCTGCGATTCCGCGAACGATACAACTGTCTTGCGGGCGAAACCGCGAAAAATACCGCAAAAATAATTCCATAATAATAATTCCAACTGACGACAACAGAGAATTATTTTCCAATCTGGCATACTAAAAAACTGCCCACATTTTTTCCAGCAATTTCTTCCACATTTTATTTCATAATCTATTTCTAATTGAAATAAACCGGATATCAATAATCGTTTTTAGTAACAGCTTCACACTCACAACACTAACGAATTTTCCCTATTATTTTTCGTATTTTAAAGGTGTAGTACTTCATATAAAAACTGAGCAGCAAACGCTAAAATTCGTTAATTTCAGAACCAGTTCATCGCATAAATTAATTCCATTTACAGCGAACATTTACCATTAGCAGCTAACGAAAGACCGCTCGCGCAACCGCCATACCTGAATCATACATAATCTCCCGGTTGCGGAAGCCCTGGATCTTGCGGGAGAATTTGGGCCGCGGCCGGTAGAATTGGCGGTGGGCGTTGTGGTGCTGTCCGAAGGCGGCGTCCTGCTGCGCGGCGGCGCCGCGGTTAGCCACGGCGGAGGGATGGTAGGGTGCCCGCGAGGGGGCGTTGTTGCTGTAGCTGTAGTAGGAGCCCGTGTAGCCGTATGTGCGCGGCGCGGGACGGGCGGCGCTGCTGCGCTCCGGAAAACCGCTGCTGTCTTCCCGGGGACGCCAGTGCCAGCCGGCGCTGTCCAGCTGGGCGGCCGCCGCTTCGCGGTGTTTCTCGTAGCGTTGGCGGAGTTTCTGCTGCATGGAGAGGCGCGGCGCAGGCAGCTCCAGCGGGATCCATTTGGTTTTGGTACCTACATGATTACGCTGTCTTTAAAATCAAATCTTCACCTGTTTAATGATTGTAATGGTTTTTAATAATTTTTGCTGATTTTTAATGATTTTTTTCTGATTTAGTGTGTCATGATTCAAAATGCATGAGTACGTCAAACGAGTATTTCTTATTTTTCGTTCACTAAATATTCAATATTTTCACGGTTTAAAAATAAGAATTTCTAAATTTCATAGCGAGTAACGATGAAACCGCAACAATATTTACATCATGTTCTGCTGAATATTATCATTAATTTCTCTTCGAATAAATATCAGAATATTTCCAGTGAAAAAGGTTGTCTACAATAGATTTTTGAAAATTCAATTCAATCAACGATAAATCAGGAACAAACATTTATCACCAAAAAAATTAAGCACTTCAGCCTGACAATGTACACATAACCGTAGAAATTATCGAGAAAATGCTATTTAATTGTAGTAGTAATTTAAAATAAAATAAAAGACGGCTGACCTTTCTTGCGGGTGGCGGCCGACTCATCGGCGGAGTTGCGCCGCTGCAGATCGGCCAGGGCCTCGCCCTGTTCGTCGTGATTGGAGAAGGGATCGGAGGCCGGCTCCTGGTTGGTCAGGCCGTCGGCGTCCTCGAGGGAGGGGTGGCCGGTGCCGGCGGAGGAGGTGGCCAAGGCCTCTGAAGTGCTGCAGTCACTCTCGGATTTGCGTTCTGACGACAGGGAACCGATGCCGGACGATAGGGAGGAGCATTTACTGGCGACGGGATACTGGTCGCTCTCGCTGGTGGTGTGCTTCTGACGGGGGATGAAGGGACGGGCGGCGAGATGGCAGGCGGGATTGTAGGAGGAGGCCACGATGGGAGCGGGGAGTTTCTTTTTCTACGCAAAAATAACGAAATTAATGCCACATTACAACCTTAATTTTTCATTACTAGTAATCACCAAAAAAATTAGCAGATCGCAAACTCGAATTTCTGCATTAACGATAATTAGTACGGAGTAAAAAATAAAATGAAATTAACAACAGAACAATTAGGCCACAATAATATTGAAACTTTTGACATCTAGTAATAAACAGATTTATTAACAAAGAATATTAAATAAATGCAAAAATTACGATAAATTCCAATACGAGTATAACAAGACTGTATTACGTATACAACTCACCCGACATCTACAGTCAACATTAAATTATTAACACTTAATTTTTGTTGCTGCTGAGCTTGTTAAGGGAAATTAATTATAAAAATTACGGTAAATTTTAAGAATAATAAAATACACTGATCGGAAATTGATCTGAAAATCAACGGCATTTATTTGCATTTAATTTTCCGCATAAAATCTACAACAAGGAGATGCTTAAATTAGGTACGTCGATGACTGCATTCTTTCCGCGAACCAACGCACAGTAAACACTAAACTGTATCATTTTTTTACCGGTGTTGACGGTATGATGATTTTTATTTGTTTTTGCATGCCGCTCTCTCTAATCACCAAGTTGCCAACCACCACGCACACACCGGCACAAATGTGAAAATTTAATGGGCCTCTACTCTCTCTACTCTGCCACTGCGTCTACTCTTTCTCTCTCTCTCTCCGCTGAGTCTCTCAGCCTCGGTCTGATATCAGTTCGCCGAAAACACCCCGACCCATCCTATTGTCAACAACCGTAACTCTCGGAGGCCCGCCGGCGATGACATCCATCCAAAGCCGGTTTTTTTCGCAGCACCATCATTAGACAGTCGTATAATATTTTTTCAACTGGAAACACCGCAGCCGGCCCCATCCACACGTGCCTGGTCAGTCGCAGACAGGGCTGTTTTTTTGTTATTCTGACTTGTCTAATCGACCATGACGACGCTGACTATTTTCCGATGGATTGAAAGTGTAACAAAAATGAAAAAAATAAACAGATTTAATTTTCACCTCTTTCTGCAGTGCGATTACCACAAACGAACGAAAAAACTGGCAAAAATTCGATTAAAATAAAAATTCATAAAAAAATAATAATAAAAAAATCAAAATAAATGACAAAAAGTCAAACACATCAAAATTTAATTAGGCTAATTTTCATCTATTAATAATCATTACGAATAAACCAAAAAAACGGCTACTATTCGTTTTGTTACCGAAAGAAAAAAATTCACAAATAACGGGCATTAAAAATCGATTGCTTTAATCTGAAAATAATTACTGCAGGATTACACCGTATTGCGCAACAGGAAGCTGGTATCCACTACTGAAAACGAGAGTAGCATTCGCAGCGCAATTTATAACACTTTTTTAAACAGGATCTGTGGGATCTATTCCAAAACGACCGGAGAAACTCGTGAATTTGGCCGGTGTTTACTCCAGAAAGGATTTCAGGCACTTCAGCCAAATTAAACCAACGCACGGTGCCGCTCTCTGTACCGATAGGCACTCAATCTATGTACCGCTACAGGGAAACAGCCCCATGCGCTACGGCAATCTCCGCCGCGAATAAACCCACCTGCTCTGCGTCGTTCCGCTCTCCTAGCGCCGGCCATTGTCGGGGATCATTGAAGTCCCGGGTAAAATCCAAGCATTCACGACGGGCAATCATGTTTTTAAAGAACTGTGCCCCGTTCATGGCCAATCACACACACACGGCGTCGAAGAACCCGCTCGCCGGCTGATCACGACGGGCTGACCGAATTGGAATAGTTCCAAGGGAAAATGCGTGCGAATGTCCCACGGATAACGGAGAATAATCAACCTCCAGGTCGGACAATGACCATGCAGGATTAATTGGGTAAAAAATCGTGGAAGATCCGTATGAAAGTGGAGAAAAATCCCCAGGGCCCGGATGATCTGTGAATGGAAGAACGCAATAGACGGCGAAAATGTGTGCTATGCGGTCGCATACGTGCTGTGTTAACTGCGTCTGCTTATGCTTACTGCCTGCTGCTGTGTCGCGCAGTTCGACGTGGCGCAATCGACATTCCTCTCTGGCCGGTGTTTACCGGCATGTGACGTCACGGTGCTATTAAGCAATCGGAAACACCCATATGCGGTGTTTCCTAAAAATCTGGTTGAAATGCTTCTTTCGGTCCCCTTCTTTCCCGCAAAAAAATAATGGGAAAAAATTTTAATAACGCCAACTATCAAATTAAGAATTCAGAAAAGGCTATATCAAATTAAGAATTCAGAAAAGGCTAAAAGTGAAAGAAAATTCGAGATCATACTTGAGTTTGACTCGAACAGAATACCACTGCCTCGTTAATTCACTTCCGTGGCGAGCAGATTGTGCGAAAACCGCCGAACCCACTCGCGTCATGCTCGCCTCGTGACAGGGGTGATTTGTGGCAGATTCCGACTTCCGACCACGACGCACGCTTTCAAAAATCGAATTTTTCAAAATCCAGTTTTTCAGACGATATAATCTTGCTATTCCGAAATTATCCTGTTTTCCTTATGATTTCGTAATTCATCAGAAGAGGAATATAGTGAAACGGTCTATCCTGCTCTCACATTATGGGTCTGTGCAAGTGTCCGCGGAGGCGGATGACGAATCTCTTCTGTTTCGAGCATCATGTCAATGTCTGCGAGGAATGCGTGGTGCATGATCACAATAAGGTTCGTCTTGACTTCATCTTCCCTTTTACTGACTTCCCTGGTTATCTTGAGGGTTGAACGATTTTCAGTGTGTGATAAAATCCTATCTTAACTGGCTGGAGGACAGCGGATACGATGCCACATGCCCGTTCTGCCATCGTGCACTGGGCGACAGCGAATGCGTAAGTGGCATGCTGAGACTCATGGTTTCCCTGTACCACAACTGTGGCACGCAGCTGAACGTACTGGGATTCGTGCAGTAGATCGAGTTATTACTGTGCTTCTGGGGATTTTTGAATTATTTTTAATGTTTACCGTTTGACGGTTTGCGTTTGTTTTTGCAGGCTCGGCTGACGTGCTACCGTAAGTTTGTCGTCCGAATTAGCAGTTAAAATTTGTAGCAATGTTTGAGGTTCATATGGGAGTGTTTGATTGGGTTTTTGATTTATAGATCTCTTTCATTGGTCCTGTCTGAACAGGTACGTGCGTTTCGGAATAATTTGAAAAATCTCTAAATAATAATATTGTAATTTGTCTTTTTTTTATTTTTCTGTAGTTGAGTTCAGATTTATGATTTCGAAATTATTATTTTATGAAGTATTTATTTATTCCGTTTTAGAAAACTAATTTTCGCGACTACAGCAAGTACAGTATGTGAGCGACTTTTGCTGCAGTAGTGAGTAGTAACTGATATAATGGACAATTAATTATTATAAACCGTTACAATCGTCGTACTTCTCTTTGCGTCAGTTTTCGGTGGGTTTCTGAAATACGGTTACTTACGACTTGCTGTAAAATTTACCTTTAAATTGGTCATTTTTATTCAGGTGTTTTCATGCGTTACTCTGCAGAGAATATGCACATTCGGTTATAAATTCGCTAATTGAACTTGAATAAAATTCAACTGCGATAAAATGTTGGTAAAGTATGGTTACACATATTTTTATTAAATTTAAATTGCAATAAAATTTTAGTAAATTAAAAGTAATGTTACTAAATTGTAAGAATGTTTTTGAACGGTTAGGCCGACTGCGGAAATTGGCAGCAGTGTCGCCGCTATTGACTGTGATTAACAGAATATTATGAGGTATTCCCGTTTAACCATAAGGCTTATTTATGTATTTCCCGTTTAATCAGATACGCCTCCCAACTACCGGCCAACACCGCCCCCGCCGGATATAAATGCTACACCTGCTCGCAGTGCATCTTCCCCAAGGGCAATCTGGCCAGTCCGGTGGCGGATGCGCTGCGCCAGCAGCTGGAGACGGTCAACTGGGGTCGCGCGGGATTGGGACTGCCGCTGGTGAGTAATAACGTGCAGCACGGATGCGCATTTTCAGCGTGCTAATTTCGCACGAATTTTTTAAATTTATTGGTCCATGTCTTCTATTTTTGGAGAATTTTATTTTATTTTTGATGTTTATTTTGTATTGTTTTTATCTTTTTGTATTTTTGAATTTACTGTTTTGGGTTTTATTTATGGAATATTTTACTTTTTATGTTTTGTTTTGTATTTTTATGAATTCTGGATTCTGGATTACTTCACTTTTCATTCGTTGATGTTTCTTTTGGCATTTTTTTAAATTGTCGTTTTTTCGTGTTTTATAATTTATTTTTGTTTTTTTTATTTCTGGACTGTTTTGCTTTCCATTTTTTTCTTTTTTTTTCTTTCATTATTTAATTTTGGACAGTTTGATTTGGCTGAGACGGGCTGACACGAGAATCTTACAAAATAAATTAAGAATTACGTTCGATTAATGTGTCGGGCATTTTGTGGTATTATGCCATGCGTGACGCTTCACATCGGTTGGGATTCTTCCGTTCTTTTTTCAAAAGCAGGGCTCCGGTAATAATTTGGAAGGTACATTTTAAGTTTTTATTTGTAATTTTTCAGTGCCTGTGCTGGTTATCATTTTTCGGCTGCTATCATCACGTGGATAATAATAATAATTAATAATCATAATTATTTATAAATTGGCGGATAATGATAATTTAGAATGCATGAAGATGTCGCGTAATTATTCAAAATGACCGGCATTTTGCTTGACAGTTGGACGGTAACGGGGGCACCGCGGCGGTCAATTTTGGCGCGATGGATCCGGAGTTTGTCCATAATCTGCAGCAGCAATCCCGGGAAACGACCATTTCCTTTGAACCGAGTAAAGATCATTCCAAGGATCTGGGTTATGAACGTAAGCCGTATTTTCTTAGCAATAATTTCGACTTTTAAGAATTAGCCAGCGTGCGTTGATAACGTTGATATACAGTTGGAAATGAATATTATCATAAATTTAATTATGGTCAGTGCTATGCGCCCCGACAATCGGGGCGCAAAGCAAAACGGCTGTGCGCCCCGATCGGGGCGCGAAGTAAATTGGCTGTGCGCCCGGTCAGGACGCGAAGTAATTTGGCTTTGCGCCCCGAATTTTCTAAACCAATAAATATCACGTAATACACTGTGCAATGGGTATTATAATGTTTCTGGAGAGACAGGTGACCTTGAAAAAACAATAAATGCATGACCTCCAGGACATATTGATCAGAACAGAAATACGGAAATATCCAATAAATGAGAAACTCAACATGAATATTATTGTTTAAACTGTAATTTGCGTACTAATTACTCAATCATGGAAATTTGTGCAATGGATCCAGGCCCAGAAATGCAGTTTGAAACTCTACGGGATCTAGAAACCTACATGGAGTCATATATGGCGAGAACAAACCAGCTGTTCATCAAAGGAAAGAGGACAGATATACTCCGTCCTTCAGACCGATTTTATATCACCCATCGGTATTCCAAGCTTACCTACGAATGCGCATCGAGAGATTTTTCGCAATGGTGAAGGCCGTTATGCGCGGACAAGGGCGCAGGGTCATCAAACGCATGCATCTTGCTGAATGTATTGAAATGGTACTGGCGGCAGTTAATTCAAAGGTTACTCTTTCGGACTACGGAGAATACATGAATAACGAAAAGAGATTAATCATGCACGACTTTCCGGATGTCAAAGTGGGAGAGATGGTCGGCAGACTGCTGACTAATTTTGCCGCTTTGGTGGTGAAAGAACAGTATAAGTTGCTTGCCAGAGAATTCTATACCACAGTATCAACTGGCGCGGATACTTACGAAACCAAACATCAAAAAACCGGAAAAGTGTATCAAATAATTTGCAATCCGGACAGTGGGGAAATGTGCTGCAACTGCTATGTTTCCTGCATGTTTGGCTTACCATGCCGGCATGTGCTTGCAGCAAGGCGGTTCCAAAGTATGCACACATTTGATATTAAAGACTGTCTTCCGAGATGGCAGCGATTGTCGTCAGAAAGCTCCGGAGAACATGTTGACCTTTATCACGACGTTGTGCTAGACGCATTAAGTGGTCACATGGATGAGAACGAAGAAAACCCTGAAGTCGAAAACAAGGCGGAGGAACAAACAGACAAGAAATTGTCTCGTCCGGCAGCCAAGTTTAATGAAGCCTTCAGAATTTTGTCGAAAGATCTTTCATCTGTTGTCGCAGCGCAGAATTCAGAAAGATACCAGTATATTTTGCAACAGCTGCAGCGTGCCTTGGACCACCTTGATCAAGGGTATTTGTTCCGCGTATTACCGGTAGTTGAGACGGCGTCAGTTTCCTGTCAGACAGATTTAACTGGAAAAGTTGTTGATAATCCTGCGCACTTACTGGAAGAAAATGCACAAAAAGAGACAGAAAAAAGTCCAAGAAGGAGTTTACCTGAATTCAAACTGTTTCGCGATGCCAGAAATGAACGCGGTCGACCACCAAAAAGCGGCTTAGGATTTTATGCAACACAAAATTCGCAAAAGCCTGAAACACCCGATGCGCCGCCCACACAGCCATACAAGAGTAAACCCAAACGACGACGTCTAACATGCCCTCCTGTAATAACCCTCGACAGTTTGCCAGATGAACAGCTAAAGCATACATCTGCTAAAAGGCGACGGAGCTCAGATGAAAATCCCGAGGAAGCGGGAGGAAGAAATCGTTTGGTGAAAAATATAGCAGGCAGATTTGCTATACACCAATCTGACATGCGCGCCCTTTCAACCATCGGACAATTCATCGACTCTAAGGTAGTTGCTGCTGTCTGTGCTTTGGCTAAAGCTGGCCTTGCATCAGTGAAGTCTGTTACCGGCTTCCTCAGCCCTCTGTGGGTGCAGAGATGCCAGCCGGATTACGAGGTCATTCAAACAGTGAGAGAAGATTACTTGAATGGAAAAACTATCGTGCAACCTTTGTTTAACATGACGAATCATTTCGTCACTGTTAAAATCGATCCACAGACACGTGTCGTAACTCTCTATGACTCGCTGGGATGGACACCCAGTCCGTGGGTTCTTCTGCAAATATGGACGTTGTGTGGCGAAAAGGAAGACGTTAATATCGTGATGCCGCCGGTTCCGAAACAGTCGAGCGCGTCAAATAACTGTGCCGTTTACTCGTGCGCGTTTGCGCTTGATATCATGCTGAAAGGAAATCCTGAAACCTCGAATTATAAAGAGGAAACAGAATTCCCGCAATGGCTGAAACAAATAATCGAAACTGAAATAATCTCAAAACCGCCAAAGAAACGTGGACGATTTACGCACGAAACCACCAAACCGGAAACACCGCAAATGACGCTTTCGGCTGAACAAGCTGCTAATTTGCGAGTTTCTTTGAACTGCCCGCTAAAAGATAACCTTGAAGAGATGAACGGTGTACCATTTTAATACCTTTTTAGAAGATTTCAGTAAATTGTGTAATTGGTATCTACCTGTATTTTGCAAACCCATTAAATTCGGGCCTGGAAGGTTTTCGTTTCCACATAAAATTCGGGGCGCACAGCCAAATTACTTTGCGTCCTGACCGGGCGCACAGCCAGTTTACTTCGCGCCCCGATCGGGGCGCACAGCCATTTTACTTTGCGCCCCGATTGTCGGGGCGCACAGCCATTTCGTTTAATTATTTCCAGTTAGCCGTACGATCCATGATTACAAACGATTTTTCCACCTTAAACAAAATAATAGAAAAATTGCACATGTTACAGTGGATTTGAAGCCGTATTATCGGGTGAATTTGTTGATTATTTTAAAGTTAGCTATTATTTTGTATAGAAAATCTGATGTGTTGTCGTGCGCGTATTGGTCACTGGTCGGCAGCTGCATTATTTGCATAGTTTTTATAAATCAGTACTTTGTTATTTTGGTAAAGTTCATAAATTTTCTATAAATTATGACTAATTTATTTTTGGCACTTTAGTAATAATTTAATACTAATAATGTTTTAATTTTTCATAAATTGGTACTGATTTTGGCGCTTTAGTGTTATTGTTTTTAATTTGTTTAATAAATCAGTATAAGTACTATTTTATTTTGACACTTTGACATCAAGCTGTTTTAATTTGTTTGAAAATTACATATTGCTATTTTATTTTAATTTAACAATAACGTGTTTTTTGATTGTAATTCTGTAGTGGCAGTATGATATTTTATAACAATTATTTCCTTTTTAATCGTATCTTCGTCTGGAAGTGCTTCGTGTGAGACGGCTTTGCGCTCGCGGTCTTGGTTAATTTTGTCTTATTCAGTAATTGTTTCGTCTCTATGCTATCCTGATCGGGGATCGTGCCCATTACACAAATCGCGTTTCCCCATTGGATTTGCATAGATATTCGCTGTTTAAAAAACTCTTTCGCCCGCTTTTGGCCGGTTGAAGTCGCTATACCGTTTTCAACCGTTTCTACTAGCTTTTAGTACCGTCTCCAGAAGGTCCGTAAATTTCGTTGATAGATTTTTGATATGTGTTTTGGCATGCGATGATGGTGGTTGTTGGGTTAATTTGACGTCGGCCAAAATGAAATTTGCAGGCGAGACCGTGCGGCGTGCTGGCGACTCGTACGAGAGCAAAGCCACACCGTCCGCATCGCGCTACCACGAAGCGCACGATTCGGACAGCGTGGAAGTGAAGTACAAACGGAAGCCGTTCGGTGAATGGTTCCAGCGTCTCATCAGGTTAGTTGATCCCTGGATGAATTTCACCCGCTTGGTTACACAATAATTGTAATAATGTACGCAGCGGCATTATTGTTTCAGAATTCGCTGGTGTCTTCACTTTATACGAAAATTGTCAAAAATTATAGCTGATTTCAACGAGACTTTTTTAAATTATTTAAGTGGATAAAATATTTAAATGGTATTCGATTTTTTCAGAAAATTAATTGTTTTGAAATACCGCGAATTAAGAAAATTTATTTGGAAGTGATAAAAAAAAGCAGATTATCGTAAAACGAGGCATTACTTATAAGGACCTTATTTGCAAACGTTATTAGTCGGAAGTATTTGAAAATAACATTAATTTAAAAAAATTAATTTAAAAAAAGTTGTTTTTAAGAAATAATTTTTTTGTTATATTTATAAAAAGCCTATTCGAAGACGAGTATAATTAAAATAATTTAAAAACAACAATTTATTTGCTTGATTAAAAGTAATGCGATGAATAAAATATGTGTAAAACAATTTGTGGAGCCTTGTTTAAACCAGGAAAATCGAATAACTGGCAGATGCATCGCAATGAATCGTGCTCGCTGCGTCGTATGAACGGTACCGGTGGCAGGAAGTTATAACTGTTGGTAATAATTATGTGTGTTATCGGCAGAGCGTACATTCCCCGGCCATCGGCCAACGACGCCAAGGCCGGACTGCGCCGGCTCTTCATCAGCGTGCTGGTCATCCTCGTCATGCTGCTGACGTTCGGCGTCTTCCTGACCAGCGTCAACCGGGCGCCCGGCTACGAGGAGGTGCCGGATGCCGCGGCCGATCTGCCGGAGGAGCTGGGAGCCGGGGAGAAGGCCGTGCGGCTGGAGGGGATGGGCGGGGAGTCGGCGCGCTGATACGGGTGTCCAAGGGTTTAATGGACCTGTGGATGGTGTTTGCTTTTGTGTCTCTCACGGGCGACGCGCGGATGTAATGCGTACAGTTATCTTGTGCTTAGAACGCCTGCTGTGCACTCATGCTGGCTTCTCCCTTTTTATTTTTGGTTTCTTAGCAGTGGCTTTGTGGGTGTCTTGGCGTTAAATTTCGAGTTGGATGTTGAATGGGCAGAGATTCACTGGAAAACACCGGGTGTTTGTTATACAGTTTACTGGAAGTGTTTTCTTGGCAGAACAACTTCAACTGTGTCTCGCAGGAATTGGGTTGATTAACAGTTAATTAGTTTGGTTTATGAATAATTTATTCAAAGTCCATAAAATTTAATTTAATTGCAATCAGAGCAGGTAGCCCATTTCCGGCTAGGTTGACAGTCTAGCATGGGATTTTAAACCTGGCTGAACGTCAAGACTTAATGTCTACAACTTAGCATCCAATAACCAAGAATTCAGAAAAAAACTGGCAGAAAACAGAGCGGCCTTAAAACACGACATAGAACGTAAATTACGAACATCACTACGAGAACGGTATATTTTATCCAACAGTTTAGGCATGGTTCGTGAAAAGGAATTAGCGGAAATACACAAAGGAAAAATCACATAACACGAAATACATAGTACATTAGTAGCCCCAATGGAAAGTGATGCGTGCTGAATAGAGAATCGCGTAGCGCGGTTTTGTTGACTATGCGGCGGTGCCCACCGCAATGTTGAAGAAAAAGGACGGATACTATGATGGGGGGTTCCATCTGGCAAGGGAAGCCGGGGCACATGCAGCCGGCACACTTATTCCACACAAATGCGGCAACATTACATATCTGGGGAGGGTTATCATGAAACTGGATGGTGACGACCTGCGTCGGTGCAACACGTTACTGTAACAGTTAAACTAAGACGTCTGGTGTGCTGGTACGCGCGTTTTCCTTACCGACGGTCTTACGAGGCTGGTAACCCGGTGGGAAGTAGGGTGGGCGCCACTTTGTGGTAGCGCTGGCCGGGCTAGTTGTCCACTGGGTGGGTAATGGCGGAGTCACAGTGGTTGTGGTGGTAACGGTCGCCGATACTGTGGCGGCTGACGGTGTGCTGGTCCACTCCGTGATCCGGCCGTCGGCGATAGTGCTGGATATGTCTGCGGCTGGTGGTACGGTTGTTGTCAAGGTTACCGGTTCTCCAGCGCCACAGAGTTGGTGTTGGCGTGGTCAGTGTTGCGAGAGTGCTGCTCAGTGGATTGCGGCTGGTGTTGCTTGATTCGGAGCTTAGTGTGCTCATGGTGCTGAGGAGTGTCATGGCTGACCATGCCATATCAGAACTGCAACAAAAGCAGTCGTCAGGCCAGTAATAATATTTACTGTAATTAACGCCGATCAGTCTGTGACCGGCAGCTGTAAATTACTGGACAAGTAGAAATCGGACATTTTCATCGGTACGGCAAAAATCTGCATGCTAAAGCCGACATCGCCTTTTGACACTGGAAGACATCGGGTTTATTTTACGTCTCCACTCAGAAAACCGGTTATCCACAGTGGCACGTGGCAAGAGCATATGCCATATTTCGCGACTGGCTAGCGGTAAAAAAGGGTCAATATTCAGAAATTCGGAAACAACTAGGAAATCTGTTTTCCAAGGAAACATATCCCATTCCACTTCCCAGTACAGCGTATCTTTGTTTGAGAAAACGAATACGCTAGCCTCGAACCTGTAACGCGCCGGCCAATGAAACGGGCGCTGCAGCGTCTAAAAAAGGCTCTTAAAAGGAATAAAAAGCACGGCACGAATGTGTGTCAGCAATTCGCGTAGCACATTCAGCCGCTGTTTACGTTCTCGTCTGGTGCGATAAGGGCATCTACATTTAATAGCTACATACACCTTATGATTTCCTTCAAATAAACCTCTTTAAACTGAATGAAAAAACATGGTATCTTGGCAGTTTCCCATTGTCACGTTCTACCGCTTTGCCAGTAAGCAAGGCCCAGTGGCAGTAGGCAGGTGTTTGCTGGGCAACAGGACGCGTGGCACTGTCAATGTACAGATAACTTAGCAATCCATCATTACGGTTATTTAATTACGGTACAGTCGCGTACATACCCGTTTGTGCATGGTTGCTGGCCAACGTTTGTCGTCCGGTGAGGAATTACTCCGGTGACAGCGCTCATGCCGGTTGACAAAGATGCGGATGAGACGGTCAATCCAGTGGAGGTTACCATAGTTGTAGTCGTTGGCGAAGCAGCCAACACGGGCGGCGTGACAATCCCGGTAGACTGCCGTCCACCACGTGTACTATCCGCCACACAGACAACGAACAACAGCACTGCCATCCGAAGGCAACGCGCTAGCAGCGCCCGACTAGCCATGATCAACGGCAGTGACCTCAACTTCCAGTCGTACACTGTCAGTAATTACTGCGATCTGTATTCTCTACAATAACAGTCTTGCCGTGCCCTCACTGCTTAAAGCTTCGAACGATGGTTTTTTCGTACACTTATACTATCTGCATGCGGCATCTGAACTTCTGAAGTGTTGATAAAGTTGTCCGTGTGTTGCAAGTACAATGCGGGTGCTTCGGAGCAGAACTTACGAACGGAGAAGCGATTGTACTCTGTACATTGTGGATGAACAGTGAATTATAATGCGCAACAGCTTTGTGGTGACTGTTTGCGCAACAATGAACAATATTAACTTACGTTCGGCTCACGGTCAGCCTGGCTGTAAAAGTCACCGTACTGCAATTAGAATGTGACATGGAGACAAAGAGGCATCGAATTGCAAAACAATTACACAGGGAAAGCCAATGTCGTGTCGTATCACAAATGTACACAAAGCCGTGACAAAGGTAAGGTATTTCAACGTGTCAACGGTTCTTCGTCCTCTCCGTCGCTTACTGGAGGACCTCAGAAGCATCCACTACGTTCTTTCCTTGAAGGGGATCGCTATCACATACCGAAAAGAATCCCGAAAGCGGTGCGCCTTCAGTGTGCTCGAGTCTTAACAGGTTTGGTCCGCGACTGCCTACGCAAGAATGACTCAACCGCCTGGACCGCCTTGCTGTTGTTCGCACCTGTCGCTCTGTCACTTCCCCCAGCAAAATCCCTCCGAAAAGACTCCCTCTCTGCAGTCATCAGGAGAAACCTTGCAGATTTCTCGCTAGATAAACGGCAAACCGTTCCCCGCCGTGAGCAGCAGAAAGGCGAAAACGTTACTCGTGAACGACTTTGCGCCAAAGTAACGTCCATGTTACAGGATGCGAACGTTAAAGGCGCGATCCGTGTCCTACCTGAAGATGATAAACTGGCAGAAGTCGATCCCCAAACTGTTGAGTTGCTCCGGGAGAAGCATCCTCCTGCACCAGTAGACTGCCAGTTCCCAGCACCACCTGATGACACCGTCCTACCTCAAGCAGTGTCCCCTGCGGAACTAATGGCAGCTATTTTCAGCTTTCCACCAGGATCAGCAGGAGGAGTGTTTGGGCTGCGTCCACAGCATTTGAAAGACCTTCTTGGCCGAAAAGACGACACACAGAGCGAGCTTTGCATAGCTCTCTCGGACCTGCCACCATGGTGCTGCGAAAAGATGTTCCCGAAGACATCAGGCCTTATCTGTTTGGGGCGAATTTTATTCCGCTTATCAAGAAGGACGGTGGTGTGCGGCCAATTGCTGTCGGTGACACCTTCCGAAGGCTGTTCTCCAAAATCGTTAGCCGGCGCTGTACAGACGAAGCGGCTGCCATGTTCAGCCCACTTCAAGTCGGATTTGGAATCCGTGGTGGAGCCGAAGCAGCAGTACACGCAGTCCGTACTTACGTGGAGTCAGCGCACCATAATGCACGTGTGGTTGTCAAGCTAGATTTTGCCAACGCCTTCAGTACTCTTCGCCGCGATGTGCTTCTCACTGCTGTGCGTGACAAATTCCCGGCATACTACCGTTACTTCTGGCAGTGCTATCGCCACGCCTCTCATCTGTCCTGTGGTATTCAGTAAATCTCTGCTGTCATCAGAAACTGGAGTGCAACAAGGCGATCCTAATGGCCCCTTTGGATACAGTCTTGCAACATTACCGCTGTTCGCAGATATAAAATGTGACATATCTGTTGGTTTTTTGGATGACGTCACTTTCACAGGACCGGCTGATGAAGTGATTGCGGCGATCCGTCTCATAATTTCTCGGGGGTTTGATATAGGACTGGAGCTGAATATAAAAAAGTGTGAAGTATACGGTATAGGAAGCTTCACTGCGGATCGCCTGCATGCCGTCCAGATGGTGCTCAATGTATGGCCGGATATGCGTGTGGTCAAGGAGGAAGATTTTATTCTGCTTGGAGCTCCGTTGACGTCAGCGGCCTGCGAAACATTTCTGCGCAGTAAAACCACGCAACTGAAAGATTTCCTTTGTCGTCTTAAGGAAATCCCCGCACATTTCAGTCTTTATCTGTTGAAAAATCGCCTGCTTATTCCGAAACTACTCTATGGATTTCGCACAGCCAGATGTTATGAACACCCAGCCTTAATGGCCGCCATGGACGAACAAATACGTGTTGGTATACAATCTATTTTAAATGTGCGTGTCGGTGTAACGGATCTACAGTGGAGCCAAATGACACTTCCGATCAGAGACGGTGGACTGGGACTACGTACCACAGAATCGCTAGTTTTCCCTGCTTTTTTAGCATCGGCGCATTCAGTGGCTACTCTTGTCTCGGAAATCTACCAGCCTGCCACGGTTGAGCTCCTAGATCCGGTTGTGCGGCAGTGGACCGACAGGAGTAAGTGTGAACCACCTGCAGAAGAGAACAGGAAATTTCAACGGGCCTGGGATCGTCCAGTGATTGACTCTGTGCTGTCGGCGCTGCTGCTAGCCGCCACGAACGAAACCGATAAAGCTGTACTGCTGGCCGCTCTACATCGTGACTCCGGTGCATGGTTAAATGCACTCCCGGCACCAAATCTGCGCACATTCCTTCGGGACGAAGAGGTGAGAGTTGGCGTTGCCCTCCGTTTTGGACTTCCAGTTGTAGAGGAACACGACTGTGTAAATTGCGGAAGCCATGTAGAAATAAACAGTCACCACGGCTTGTCTTGTTCAAGCAGCAAGGGTAGGTGGTCGCGCCATGTCGAGCTGAACAACGAAATTAAGCGTGGTTTGAAGACCGCGGGCTATCCGTGTAAAAGCGAGCCTTCCGGACTGTCAGATCTCCACGGCAAGCGACCTGACGGTATGACCCTGATTCCGGTGCGTGACGGCAAGGCGGTGGTGTGGGAT